GGGGGGGGGGGGGGGGGGAGATAAGTCAAGCAAGAGGTTCATTTCGGTACGGTGTTTCGCGCCACTCGGCCCGCCTCTTCGCGTTTCCTGCCTTCCTCGCCGTCTCGTCCGCCTGCTGTACCCCTCCCACCCCGTGGTTGTTGCCGTGTCCGTGTTGTTGTCGGGCTTCTTGTTTCGTTTGAGCGCTCGTTGTCGGCGAGCCTCCTCTTCCTTCTTGTGCCAGGAGGCCATGAACCTCTTAGCTCCCTGCAGTACCCCTGTATGCCACGGTACCCCCCGACCAACCTTCGCTGCTTCCATCCAAGTTGGATCCGGGACTCCGAAGAAGCACGGCTCGGCGTCCGTAGATCTGTGCTCTGCTTCGAACATCTTGAGGTCGTCCTTCAGGCACATCTGCCAGTTTTGCTCCGGTTTCCCCCTGCCTGGGCCCTCCCCCCCCACCAGTTCGCCAAGCATCACCCGTTTCGGGAGTCGTCCGTCTGGCTGCCTTACCAGCGCTCCCGCGAACAGCAGGTGCCGTTGCCAGATAGTGGTTTCCACGCTCTGGCACCCTACCCTCTTCAGGGTCTGGGCGTAGGAAAGCTGCCGGTAGGTGCCCTTCTTGCGTTGGTAACCGATAACTCGCAGGAGCAGTCGGTGGTGTATCGTCCGCAACGTTCGGTATTGGTCTTGACGTGGGGCCCATGTCATGCAGCCGTACAGCAGTGCCTCCATCGCCTCGGCCTGGAGCAGGCGAGTCTTCAGTCGGAAAGGTGCTTTCGGCCTGTCGAAGAGCTCCTGGCCATATCTCCTGACGCATGCCCACGCCGTTCTGCTCCGGTAATTGATCTCACGGGTGAGGTCGCCATGTTCGTTGACGAGGCCACCTAGGTACCGGAATTCAGGCATCTGGGCATACCTCTGCCCTGCTGCCTCGATGATCAGCGGTGGCGGCGGGGGGGGCGGTGGTGTTGTTGTGTGCCTCTCCTTTGCGCGCATCAGGAGCGTCTCCGTCTTCTTCTCCGATACCGTCAGCCCGAACTCCCCGTACACCTCCACGATGACGGCCATCATTCTCGCCAGTCCTTCGGTAGACCTCGATACGACGCCGGCGTCATCGGCATACAGCATCCCCCATACCGCCCTCCGCACTCGGTCAAGTGGTGTCCTCGCCCCCGCTCCCTTCTCCTCCTCCAGGTACACGAGGTTCTCCAGAATAACATCATCCTCGCTGAATCGAATGGCAACGACCTCGATGATCGCGGCGAAGAAGATACTGAACAGCAGTGGGGACAGCACACACCCTTGTCGTAGGCCTTGTGAGACCAAGAACCAGGCTGAAAACTCTCCGTCGTCCATGCGCACCCGCGCCCGCATTCCGTCGTGGAATTGGCGGATGACGGCGATCATCTCATCAGGAATCCCGGCCCTGGCCAGGACCTTCTACAGCAGCTCTCGGTCCACCGAATCATACGCCTTCTTCAGGTCGACGAATCACATGTAGAGTGGTATTTTCCTTCTCCGCCCCAACTCCTGGAGTCGGCGCACGACGAACAGCATGTCGATGGTGTATCGCCCGGGTCGGAAACCGCATTGTTCCTCCGGGAGGATGTTGTTGGTTTCGCAGAAGGCGCTTAGGCGGTTGGTGATGATCTTGATGGGGACCTTGCCTACGTGAGATAGGAGCGAGATCCCCCTGAAGTTGCTGCAGTTGAACCGGTCACCCTTCTTGTACAACACCTTGATGGTTGCGTCCTTCCACTCTTGGGGGATCTCTCCTCCGTTCCACACCTCAACGAGGATGTCATGGAGGTGCTCCAGGACGATATAGGTTTCTCGTCGTCGACGTCGATCTTGAGCAATTCTGCAGGAAGGGCAGTTCTGCAGTCCTTTCGATAGCCCGTTGCACTTCCTCGAGGTCTGGCACCGCTCCCAAGCGTCGAGTGGCACGTGTCGCCGGTCGCTGCGGCACTTGTTCGATGATGTCTGGGTTCAGGGTGGAGGACTTGGTGTTGAGGGCGGTGCCGAAGAATCTCGCCCATCGCTGGAGGATGTCGTTGTTTTTCTCCGGAGCAGCACGCCATTCTCGTCCGCAACGGGCTGCTGTCCTCCCGCTTGTCTCCCACTGAGCCCCACTGATCTCTTGAGGTGTTGGTAGAGGCCTCGCATATCGCGGTCCTTGTAGATCGCTTCGAGTCCCGTCACCTATCTGTCCAGGTGGGCATATATGCCCGTTTCGACTGCTGCGGCCACTCCCTTGCACGCTGTTTTGAGGGCCCTCCACGATGTTGTGTTCAACTTATCCTTCATCGCTCGGCGCGCTTCCCTCCGTTCGGTGAGGGCCTCCTCCAATGCTGCTCTTGTCTCAGGGGTCTCACACCATTCCTGCGTGCGTCGTCTCCGCGGTTCCTCGGGTAGTATCGCCCTCGCCGCTTCGAGGAGAGCATTGGTGAACTCGGTCGCCTTCTCCGGGGTGGTGGTCGCTCGTTCGCCCTTCTTGCTGTTGGTCGAGGTTGAGGAGGAACCGCGTAGTCACCTTCCATCGCGTTGCTTCGACCTGCAGTTCCCGTCGGTCGAACTGCTTCTGTTTCGGTTTGGTCCGGACTGCTCGGTTGTGGGCAAGCCTGCCACCGAGGTTGACGGTGGCTATCACCATGTTGTGATCTGAGTCCGCCTTGACTGGGTATTCTGGCTGGGGGATGACAACCATGTTAGACACTCGGCCGCGGTGTGTCTGCCGCGTTAGAATGTAGTCGAGGCGCCAGCGGTCGGTCCCTGACGCACCGTTGTAGGTGTGCCATATTCCACCCTTGCGTGTGTCTCGAAGAACGTGTTCGCGAGTGCTAGCTTGTTTTCCGCTGCGAAGGTTGTTGGTAAACTCGTGGCTTCTGGGGAAAGATGTTGTATTG